GCTGATCTTACAATCAGCTGATATGGTGTCAGTTGATTTACACTTAAAAAAGTTATTTCTACTACTATAACATTGAACCATACACTGAATCACGCCACACTACTGAATTGTTTATAATATACGTATTCAATTACTAATAATAACCGTATTTAAATAAAAAAATTCTTTTAACTTAAGAGACGAAGCGTTTGACAGCCGACCGTGCTACCCTCCTGACAGCCCTTATTACTAATTACATGGTAAATCTGATTATAAAGTCCACGGTTGATCTTGATTTTCAACTTCAAATTAATGCTTATGTTTTGAGTAAGATTACATCGTACTTGCCTGAGAGAACTGTGAATACCAGTTCAATGGAATAGATTCATCTCAAAGGTCTGTGTCTAGCAGATCCTTCTTTCAAAACACCCAATAAAATTGACGTTCTTTTGGGCGCAGATGTGTACTGCTGCATTGTTAAGGAAGGTGTAGTAAAGTGTCCGTCTGGTTCTTTAATAGCGCAGAACACCACTTTAGGGTGGATCTTTTCCGGTGTAGTCAGTTCAAGTAATGAAAGTGTAAAACACAGTAGAAATATAAGTGTACACTGTACACAGTTCAGTGAAGACAATATTCTAAAGGAATTCTGGGAGATAGAAGAACAAGTTAGTACAAAAAAAAATACTTAATCCAGAAGAGCAAAAATGTTAAGAATTTTATATTGAAACTACTAAGAGGGATGATACAGGCAGATACATAGTGCGTTTACCATTTCGGGACGAAGATCCTACATGCAAAAGCGGAAGTTCACGTGACATAACTGAAAGATTCAAATCATTAGAAAGAAGATTCAAAAGTATATAGAAGTAATTAAGGAATACTTGGAGTTAGGACACATGAGACCTGTTAAAGAAGAGGATGATAAGAAAGATGAAGCAGTTTACTTACCACACTACGCGGTGATAAGAAACGACAAGACCACCACGAAGGTTCGTGTAGTTTCAACGCCTCTGAGAAAAACAAAAAAGGGAGTTTCTCTCAATGATACTTTAATGGTTGGACCAATGCTGCAAGCAGACTTGAGACACACAGTTCTTAGATGGAGAGTACACGCTATTAGTATTGTGGCAGACATAATTAAAATGTACCGCCAAGTCAGAATAGCAGATGAGGATGCTATATTCCAGAGGATACTTTGGCGAGAAAGCCCCGAAAAACCACTTAGGGATTATGAATTGGTAATAGTAACCTTTGCAACAGCTTCTGCACCATATCAGGCAGTTAGATCACTCCATCAGGTTGCATATGATAAAGGAGATAAGTACCCACTTGCGGCTGATAGAGTTTTAAATTCTTTTTATGTGGATGATTTGATGATGGGAAGTAATAGTGTCGAATAGAGAGTGGAAATGTGTAAACAAATGATAGATTTATTAGGAAAAGGAGGACTTGCCTTGCAGAAATGAAATAGTAACAATCAGCAACTATCAGATAGAATAAATTCAATATATACAAGTGAAGTAGTACAGAAAACAGGTCAAATAAACATAAAAAATGATTACACTGACAATCACAACAAAGGGAATATAGTAGTTAAAGGAAAGAAATTGATAATAAGAATATAGAAATTAAGCTAGATAGTACTATAAAAATTTTGAGACTTACCTGGAACCGCACGAAGACTCCTTTCAGTACTCGGTAAATCTTACACCGCTGACGACCGCACCTGTAACAAAAAGACTAATAATATCAGATATAGCTCGTTTGTTCGACCCATTAGGATGGTTAGCTCCTAGTGTGGTATTAGCAAAGATGTTCATACAAAAATTATGGCTCGCAGGTGTAAGTTGGGATGAAGAATTAACTACCGATTTAATATCAGAGTGGAGTATTTACCGCGAAGAGTTGTCATTACTCACCAAAGTTCAGGTACCTCGTTGGCTTGGTACAAGTTCATCAGATGACCTTAAATTGCACGGTTTTAGTGAAGCCTCTAAAGCAGCGTACTCAGCAGTCGTTTACTTAAGAATAATTGATGTCTCAGGCAAAATTCATCTGTCGTTGTTAGTGGCTAAAACAAGAGTAGCTCCCATCAAACAAATTAGTATTCCTCGATTGGAGTTATGTGGTGCTTTACTTTTATCTAAGTTATTGACAGAGACAGCAGAGGTTTTAAATATTTCAAAGGAAAAGATCTTTGCATGGACTGATTCTACAGTAGTGCTATCGTGGCTTAACAGTCACCCTAGAAGGTGGAAAACATTCGTAGCCAACAGGACTTCGGAAATTTTGGGCGCTTTGAATTCGTCACAATGGTTTCATGTGCCGACCAAAGAGAACCCAGCTGACTGCGCCTCAAGGGGAATACTACCCAGTTTATTAGTCGGTAATGAGTTATGGTTTTCAGGACCATCATTTCTGAAAAAAAAATTAATTGAGTACAAGAGGCCAAAGGATTTAAAAACAAATTTAGAACAAACTATAAAGGCGCACACAACTGCAGTTCCAGAGCATGTGTTTTTCGAAAATTAGTCTAGTCTGCGAAAATTAGTAAGAGTTGTTGCTTATTGTCTTAGAATTTTAAAACGGGAAAAACACGACAGTAAATATTTGAAAGATCACGAAATAGAAGCAGCATTACAAACTTGTATAATGAAAACACAAATGGATTCATTCACAATAGAATATCAACGATTAAAGGAAAAAGGGTATTTGAATTTAAAAACAAGTAAACTAATATTACTCTGTCCTTTTCTCGATAAAAATATCATGCGAATTCGTGGACGACTTGAGAAGTCAGAACTAGATGACCAAGTAAAAAATCCGATATTCCTACCATATTCAAGTCATTTGACTCATCTTTTAGTCGCAGATGCGCATGAGAAGACACACTGCATGGTGGTCCTCAGTTAATGGCAAATTATTTAAGGTCAGCCTATTGGATAATAGGTGCTAGATCTCTAGTTCAACAATATGTTCGCAAATGTGTAACTTGTGCAAAACAGAGAGCTACTGTCAAAAATCAACTGATGGGTGATCTCCCATCGGTTCGATGTACACCAGCAAGACCATTTTTATATAGTGAAGTGGATTAAGCTGGACCTGTAAGTATAAGAGCGATCAAAGGACGTGGGTATCGTTCTTATAAGGGCTACATATGCCTTTTCGTTTGCATGTCCACTCGCGCTGTTCACTTAGAGGTCGTAAGTGACATGAGTACACGAGCATTTTTAGCTGCTTTTCGACGACTTGTGTCGCGACGAGGTCACTGCGCTAAATTGTGGAGCGACAACGCCTCCAATTTTGTAGGTGCCTCCAAAGAATTGCATCTATTCAGCCAGCCATAGCAGAATATCTGGAAGCAAACAACACCCAGTGGCATTTTATTCCGCCGCATGCTCCTAATTTCGGTGGTCTTTGGGAAGCGGGTATAAAATCCACCAAGTTTCACATTAAAAGGGTTATTGGTGCTCTGCCCTCACGTACGAAGAAATGACCACATTCCTCAATCAAGTGGAAGCTTGTCTAAATTCGAGGCCAATAAGAGTCATCAACTTTACTGATCCTGGTGAGCCCCTGCCTTTAACTCCTGGACATTTCTTAATAGGAGAACCGATAGTCAATGTACCAGATAAGGACTACAGAGGTTCAAGCGTAGGCTATTTAACTAGGTGGCAATTTGTGCAAAGGATGCTACAGTCTTTTTGGAAACGATGGTCCCAGGAGTATTTGTCAAAGCTCATGAATAGGTCACAAATGGGCGTCACAAGTTCCGGAACCTAACATTGGGGACATTGTTTTGATTAAAGAAGATGATTTGCCGCCAAGTCGTTGGTTATTGGGTCGAGTTATAGAGAAACACCCCGGTGATGATAACGTTACCCGGGCATTGCGCACGAAAACATCAGTTATTAAAAGGCCAACATAAAAATTTTGTATTTTACCTATAGCAGATCCATGAATTGTTTACTTTTTATGTCAAATTTATGTAAAATATTATTATATTAAATGTTTACCTACTTTTCCGTTTACGATAACATGTATTAGTTAAGTTTAGAATTACTACCTCTTAGTTTATGAAGTTAATTTGTTATTAAATACTCAGTGCAAATTGATGTAAGTACAATTTAGGACATTTAGTTAAGTTTTTTTAGAAGGCCATTCCGTCACTAAATGTCCTTTATATATTTTTTATGATATATATACTTATACGCCAGTATATTCCAGATTTATGAAGAAAACATATTTTTGAATTTTAAAAAAAGATTTAGTTCTTTTTTTTAAGAAATGACGTTGACGTTATTATGTCAATTTTTATTATAAAAGGCACTGAAAATATAGTTAAAAATATAGACCAAATTAGATCATACACTGTTGCGGATCATTTTATTTACCAACAACCCTTCTAGTGTATCAGCAGGACAACAGGTCAACTAGTTAAGCTGGTAAACAATGTATTCAGATTTTAATTTACTATCGAACAGGAAATTAAAGTCTGAATACATACTACAAAGACACAAAATATTCAAAGATTTACCAAAGATATGAATAAGAAAAAGTAAGTAGATCTTTTATCCTTCCAATCTATCATCTTCATCGCATTCACTCTCATTGAACGCACTGTATTTACTCATCGGTTGCACGTCGATGACCTCAAGCGATAGACAATGACGAGAATTAAATGTAATAGTTGTAACATTATTATTAATGAAGTGTTATGTTTTGTGCAAAATAAACTTGATGTTATGAATAATGTGAGCCTAGCGTTGTTATGCAGGCAATCATTTTCTGAGGAGGACATCGCTGAGGCTAAAAGCTTGTTGTTCGAGTCAGTACAACAAAAGGAAATCAAACGAAGGGGCGATGCCGGTAAAAACAAAACCATAGAAGACATCATTGGGTTGTTGAAAGGGGCAGATCCTGAGATATTTCCAACGTTTGTGGCACGAGACATCCAAAAATTGCCACCGGTCACATTTGACCACATAGACGCGACGCGTTTACTAAAGGATATGCTAGTTATGCAGAGGGAGATCAGTGCCATAAGTGAGAAATGTGCAGTATTTCAAGACACGTACGTTAAAAAAGATGATTTAAAATTTGAATTTGATAAGTATCATAAGAATACACGAGGGCAACTCATAAGTCACCCTAATGTCAATAGCAAGAGAGGCGGTTCTTGTTTACAAGATAGCCCCGACTGTGACAGCGGGCCGATGGGCTTAATGACCGTCCGTAACGATAATTATACGTCGACAATGACAGTGCAAAAACAGATAGGTGATCACCTGTCTTTGTCGGACGCGAGCGCTTGCGCGGTGGAGACAGATAAGTCTGTCCTATTCACACACGTGCAACAAGTGGCACATCAAGAGTACGTGGAGGCCCCTCGTCAAGTAACTGCGGTTTCGAATGCACACGAGGCAAATGCATTTGAGGCGCCCGCGCACCTATCCTTGTCATGCGTGAGCGATACGGAGGCGGAAGATCATAAAGCTGTCTCTGTCGCTCCCGTATTAAGGTCGGAGATGGCGACTCGAGCGCTTGTCTCGTCTGAGTCAGCTGGTGTGATGACGTCGTGCAATGTAGTGAATGCAGATATACAAAGCGCCGTGAACAAGCAAGATGTAATTGATGGGGAATGGATACGAGTTGAAAAGCGTAAAAAGTCAAGGTTTAAGGGGTCGAGAGGAACAGCTGTGATAAACCCGCTGGGGAAATTCAGGGCGGCGGAGGTGCAGATTCCGTTGTTTATTTACAACGTCGATAAAGACGCCACAGAGCGGGATATTGCCGAATATGTATATGAGAAAACACATATACATATACTGCCGGAGAGAGTGAAGAATAATAATAAAGCGGAAAAAGATTACACATCATTTAAATTCTGTATACCTAAAAGTAAATTGTCTTTGTTTACAAATAATGAATTGTGGCCGGAAGGTATATACTTCAGAAGATATATAATATTTAGAAAGGGTAGGAAAACACCTACAGAACGGGATACGAGGAAAAATAATAAAAATGATGGATCAGAAGTCAATTAGAGAGAATAATTATAAATTAAAGCTAACTAGCTTTAACTGTAAATCACTAAAGCGATCAATAGATAGTGTGAGAAGTATTTGTGTGGCAGCGGACGTGGTTGCGCTGCAGGAAACTTGGTTGCTACCGCATGATTTGGCCTACCTAAGTACTGTTAATGACGAGTTTGTAGCCACAGGGACGTCAGCGGTAGATACGAGTGCAGGCATGTTACGCGGCCGTCCCTTCGGGGGCGTCGCGCTGTTATGGCGTAAGAGTGCGTTTACGGCGGTATCTGTTGTGAAGTGCAATAATGCGAGGCTCTGCGCTATAAAGTGTAAATTGCGTGAATGTGATCTGTTGATATTCTCGGTATACATGCCTACTGACTGTACTGACAACTTGCCAGAATTCACAGACTGTTTGAGCGAGATTAATGCGGTTGTTGAGGACAGTGGTATTAGTATGGTAGTTGTATTAGGAGACTTTAATGCTCAACCAGGTGAATTATTTTTTTAATGAAATGCAGCAATTTTGTGTTGAACAAAAATGGTGTTGTGCGGACTTTGAACTTTTGCCAAACAATGGGGAGACGTATACTTACATTAGTGATGTTCACGGATGTACACGTTGGCTTGACCATTGTTTAGTAACTAGGATGGCTAGGGGTTACATTGAGAATATAACCGTAAATAACAGTGTCTCGTGGTCTGATCACTATCCTTTGGAAATTGTTTGTAACTTAAACCCCTTACATACTCAGTTGGTACCATCATCTCGAGCTTCTAATAATAAGATATTTTGGGGGCAGAGGGATAGTGACCAGACTAAGCTATTTACGAAAACTTGTGATGAGAAGCTAAGTAAAGTAGTTTTTCCTATGGAGCTTACGAAATGTTGTGGCAAAACCTGTTGTAAAGATGAACATAAACTAGTTATCGATAATATGTACTCTCATATTGTAAGCATATTGCAGTCAGGGGCAATAGTTAGTCATAAAATTGTAAGGGGGAAATAAAAAAGGTTATATTACGGGGTGGAATAGACATGTAAGGCCACTACACGGGAGAGCTCGTCTGTGCTTTCAGTCGTGGGTTATGGCTGGGAGGCCGAGTAGTGGAGTTACATACGACGATATGCGGGAGTCTCGTAGGCTTTTCAAAAATAAACTAAAATGGTGCCAGGACCATGAAGATCAATTAAAAATGGACATTTTAGCCTCTACACACGAGACTAAGCAGTTTAGTAGGTTCTGGCAACAAACAAATAGACTGAATGCACGGGCGGGCCTTCCTGTGGAAGTGGGAGGCATAACAGGGAGTCAAAACATTGCTAATATGTTTAAGACTCACTTCAGGGTGGAACCCCTAAGTATAGTAGGTCAAACAGTGGACGGTGCTCGGGACACCGTAGACCCTTGGGTAGACTCATTGAGCTTCTCTGTTTGTGAGGTAAATGACGCAATAAGGAGTATGAAGCGGGGGGAGATCCCCGGGGCATGATGGCCTGAGTGTCGAACACTTGCGATATGCTGGAGTGCACCTTTCCAGAGTCCTTACCATGATCTATAACCTCTGTGTCAGTCATGGTCACCTGCCGGATGCAATGATGATGACGGTGGTCGTGCCTATAGTGAAGAACAGGACGGGCAATGTAGCGGATAGGTCCAACTACAGGCCTATATCCCTAGCGACAATCGTGGCTAAAGTTCTGGACAGTCTGCTTGATACACATTTAAAGAAAGCTACTAAAATTAACGACGCTCAATTCGGCTTTCAGCCCGAATTGTCTACCGGAGAGCGCAATAATGTGTCTCAAGCAGACTGTACGGTACTACACTGACAGGAAAACGCAAGTGTATGCGTGCTTCTTGGACCTGTCAAAAGCATTTGACCTTGTCTCGTATAAAGTACTATGGCATAAACTTAGGACGGAAACGAGCCTAAGGCCGGAACTGTTATCGTTGTTGCAGTACTGGTACGGTAACCAGTCAAATGTAGTAAAATGGGGAGACGCTATGAGTGACCCCTACAAGCTGAACTGTGGAGTAAGGCAGGGTGGGCTTACGTCACCGAGGCTGTTCAATCTTTTTGTCAACCAGCTGATAGAGGGGCTGAGCAGAGCTGGTGTCGGATGCTCAGTTGATGGTGTCTTTATAAACAACATCAGCTATGCGGATGACATGGTTCTGCTTAGTCCTTCGGTCAGTGGCCTCCGGAAGCTACTTAAAATCTGTGAGGACTATGCTGAGAGAAATGGACTCAGATACAATGCCAAAAAGAGCGAGTTCCTTGTGTTCAGGGGAAAAAAACAAACCCACCAATTTTCAGCCAATCATACGATTGTGTGGTATTCCCCTGAAACAGGTGGCGGAGTTCAAATATCTCGGCCATATAGTTAACGAGCGCCTCGTGGACGACGGTGATATAGAGAGGGAGCGAAGGGCGCTGTCGGTCCGGGGCAATATGTTGGCCCGCAGATTTGCGCGTTGTAATGCAGAGGTAAAATTAACGCTGTTTAGAGCCTACTGCCAGACCTTTTACACGTGCAGTCTGTGGGCGGACTATACGCAGCGGACCTTCAGAACTCTTCGTGTGCAGTACAACAATGTGCTGAGAGCGGTATTGGGGAAGCCACGTCACTGCAGTGCATCTGCAATGTTTGCGGAGGCTCGTGTAGACGACTTCTACGCGATCTTCCGGAAACGTGTTGCATCCATGATGGGCCGTTTAGTGAACAGCACCAATGCCCTTCTCAGCACTTTGGCGTGCAAACTCGACAGCCCACTCTGGAGGAGTTGGAATGGTGCACACACATATGCTAACAAGCGTGTGTGTATTTAATGTTAGTTAGTTAATCTTAGTAGTAGTTAGTAATTATATTTAATTTTAGTTAATTTTAATTTATTTTGATTTATTTTTAATTTATTTTCCTTTTATTGATTGATTTTTTCATTTTTTTTTTTCTTCGTTTTGTTTTGTTTTTTCTTTTCTACTAACCAAATATGGACCCTGGTCTGAAATAAAGATTTATTATTATTATATTATTATTATTACCGTTTATCCTCATAGTGAGCTTCAAATATGGTACAGTAAGTAAGCTGCGGTAAAAGATTATGCCTTGCATTAAATCGTGGTTTCAAAACAGATGATTTATTATGTCTTTATTACAGCCTTTGCATAAATATAAAGTCTTGTGGTTTTTTATTTTTCTGAAATAGCAAATATGTTGAGTAAATGTTAACGATGCATAATCTATTCTTTAAAAATACTTTTAAACATATCGGTGTCCAGTAAGTTATACGCAAAAACTATTACCAATTGTTTAACTACTGTATCATTTTCCTGGACAAGGAATCTGTTAATACTAACTATTAATTCATTTATACAAACCAGACATCCCTAGTAGTATATTAGCCAACACATCTGACATCTAAGAGAAAAGACAGGTAGTCGAAGTTAAGTTAAGCGAAGTATGTCGGTTTTATGAGCCATGGTAGCTCTTATAGAAACTTACACATATGGCGCAATGTACTACTAAGTGAGTATCATTTCATTGTCAACGAAGTTAGTGAAAAGTCCTGCTGGTAAGACATACAATTGATGGATGCAGGTGGCTCAGAACCATGGGCTAGGCCCAGGTTTAGCAGCGGACTTGTGAAGGGTTGTAACGATGATGAAACCTTACTACTATTTTACTTTAAACTACTATTTTTTTAAGAAAACATTATACAAAGATAATAAAAAGTACTAAAACTTACACAAGACTTTATCTGTTTTACTTCGGAATGGTCTAGAAAATGTTGATTAAAATATCTCAACGGAATTACAAAACTATCCATTAAGACAGTTTGCACTTACGTAAATACACTGGCTCTTTCTTTACTTTATTTAAAATGCAGTCTTAGTTTATTCCCTGAATTCTCAATTTGTGAAATTAGTTGAATTTTTAAGTTACATGTAAATGAATGGTCGCAAAATTATTAAGATTTTTGTCACTTCATTTATTGAAGATAATTCCATACTACAACCGTAACTACGGATATAGACCCTCCTCATATATAGCTTCGTAGGAGGATATTTGCCACAGTTGCCACGTTTGGGAAGCGGGTTGATAACCACAGTTGTTACTTTTTATTGTTATTATTAAGACACTGCTGCCCATCTCCTCGTTTGTTTCCCTTTGTCGCCTTTTACGACGCCCACGAGACGATATGAGGCAGTGGATGTGATAGTGCAGCCTATAAAAGTGAACTGAACATAGGCTTCCCCCATAGATTGCCTCATGGGAGAATTTTGCCACAATGGATACGCTTGGTGAGCGGATTATCAACCGTACCGCAAAGATTTAAATAGTAAGATGCGCCTTCACCTTGAAAACTATGGCATTATTTTTGAATATGTTCATTTGCAAGACGCTGACGCGCGCACACTAATGCAATAGTGTCATCTCTTCATATCTTACAGAAATTCTGTATACTACTTTCTCTGTCGCACAAATGAGCACTGATTGCGAATGAGTGATCTCACTCATTTGAGAATGGACACATTTCGGAGTGGCCATACTATGGTAAGGGCGCATCTAACTATTTAAATCTTTGCCGTACCGTATTATTTTGAGTTGTTATCAGAATAAGCTGCTGCCCATCATCTGTTTCAATTTCCCTCTATGAAACCCACGGGATCACATGTAGTAGTATTTATTCTAACACCGCTACTACACGTTTTCTCGATTTTATGGTTCTCCAGACAACAAAAATCTTTTTTTTTTCACAAAATTTATTTTTTGCAACTCAATCGTTGTTATAAAATAGCATACTTCTTTTTGGAAATGACCGGGTTCGATTTCTGAGTAGTGTATGAGTTATTTTTTGAATCTATGATCACAGTTATTCTTAACTCTAAAATAGCGACGTGGGATTCTTTAAAACAAATGTCTCTATTTCTAAACGTTGATGGGTCACCCGGGATAGAGAATTATTTATTTTGAGTTTGACAAGCTAAAGTTAATAAAAATTTCATCTTAAATATCTATACATATTAGTGATTCAATTTTACTACCTTTTTTCCTTTTTTGACATATATGTACACGCTAAATCTACGTACCAATAGTAGCGAACTACCTCGGCTTAGCAAGGATGATTTCTAGATCTTGACAAAAACGCCACCTACCAGATTCAACTGACAATCTAAACCATCCGCGGATCCAACCATTTAAGAAAGAAAGAAAGGATGAAATGTATTTATTCCAGGTGAAGCATGCAGCACAACAAGTAAAAAGTAATTAAATGCAAAAAAAAATAAAACTAAATTATATAATATATGACGAACATCATAAAATTAAGAATTATTGGCACACCGCCGCATTAGACTGCGAAAAAGACCGAACTCGGTGATAGCAATGGTTTTCAGTCGGGCCCATACCCCGAGACACTCGGGCGGCGCGCTCACTCTTGATGTCCGGTAATTTAAAATGCGCATGCCCCCTCTGTATAATCTCTCCCACCGGTCCTATTTCTCCTCTCCCCCTCTACCCACAACTCAATTTTTCATACTTCGTCCAATATATACAGTAGTTTTGTATTAAAAAAAACTAAGGTAAATAAAAACACAACTCGTATAAAAAAATCAAAATAAAGTTTGAATAAAAAAGGCTACCTACATAATATGCAATTTCGCTGTTAGTTTCAATTTTGTTATTTTTATATTTTTAAATATCGCAAATTAAGCCAAGATTTAGTAAAAATTAAAGTGCCGAACCGCTTGTTGTCTATGAAACACATTTAAATTAACAGTAAATTCATTCTTCATTAAATTAAGAAAGAATTGCTACACGAAAGATTTTTTTTAAATTATATTTATACCTAGATACTACATCTTACCTAACATTTTTTGTTCAATTCATTCAACATCGAAAAGCAGTAATTTTTATTCTTTTTCAAAATCGTTATTTGTTGTAAGGCCTTAACGGACGCGGCAGATTGCTCCAACACGTTGTTGCATTGTATTTAAAACTTTCTCTGAATACAGTAATGCGGCTAAAATGATATACCTACTAATTTTTGCTCAACTGATCTGAAATTATATGTGTTATTGTGATCTTTAGCCAATTCAAACTTATTGAAAAGATATACTGAAAAATCATATAACAATTAAAAGAGTATGTAAAAACATATTCTAAAATATTTAAAAAAGTGTCCTCCGTAGCTAAGGCTTTATATTTAAGCAACAAAATTAAAACTGCATTCAATAAAATTAAATTGACGAGGAAAATAATGAAAAGTGAAACGGGCAAGGTCAAACTACTCGGATTATCGATTGAATATTAACAGTAATTTTGCTCAATCTGAATTAACATTTTGAAGTGAAATAATTACTCTGACTAAATACTCAATAACGCCACATTAATTATTCCGACTCACTTGAAGCCGGGTTGGGCCGCTAGTTATAATATAAGGTTATAAGAAAACTCATTAAGTAAATTTTTATCACTTGAAAACATCTATCAAAATTACGCAAAGTTAATTTCCAAGGCAGAAAATTCTAAGCTGCGCCTTATAAATTACTCTCAAACAAAGAAACCAATCGCAGAACTCAATTAACATTTAAATTAGATTTCAATTGCCGTGTTATCTATTTTATAAGATCTACCTCATCTGGTGGTCTCAATATCGAAGTATTCATTTGCGGGTTCCAGTACCGAAGCCCCCAATTGTCCTCGTACTTCTAACATCCATTCATATAAAAGTCCATTGCTGAACATAGGCCTCCCGCATGAATCGCTTCATAAGGGGAATCTTGCCATAATTGCAACGCTTTACAAGCTGGTTGATAACCACAGTTTTTATATTCTTTAGAGTTGTTATCAAGAAAATCCTGCTGTCCAAATCCTGTTCTAGTTTTCCTTTGTCGCCTCTTACAGCATCTACGAGATGATATGTGTTAGTGGATATTCTGACACCGCCACTACTGGGTTATTTAGATTTAAGGTTATTGAGGTTAAACAAAATTCTTAACCCCATTTCAGCCAGTGGGTATCGTAATAGGCAACAGAGGGAAAATAAAACGGTAGATAAGCTGAAACATCTTCCTGATATAACCCTAAACATAGAAAATTGCGATCATAAATCCACCTGGTTACCATGCAACTATGATGAATTCCGCCTTATTGCAGAGTGTAGAGAGCCAGGGACGCCTGCTTTTTACTGGTAACGAAGCATCCTACCATAGTCCTCCTGGGTTACAACGTATCTACATTAAGATTCTTAATCGAGGATAGATTTGCATATATGTAGCCCACAGCATTTACGTACCAATAGGTGGACGGTGTGTTCATTTGTTACCCAAAATGTATGAAAAAAATTAAATGTGATCAAACTGAGTTCACACACGTTTTAAGATGCGTTAACGATTTAAGACTCGTTGGCTACCACAGATCTAAAAGGTATATAGAACTTTTATTTTTACGCTTTTGGAACAGCTGGAAGAGATTATTATTTTAATATTTTTTAACACTTGATTGACTTTCACTGTAGAACGCTATCGATGGTCGTAAAATAGTTTAAGAAGGCTTGTTTCCGATTTAGATGAATTTCGGTGGGTGATTAACTGTTACTTGCTGTGTGCTCCGAGTGTATGCTACTTCCTATTATATCTATTTACATATCTTAGGTCAGAAATTCAATTTGTAATACTATATTTTAGGAAGAGGAAAAACAGAAAATCATAATAGAATCACCATCGGAAAAGAAGTTTTCAAAAAATTTGTTACGATATACAGTCCGTACAAATAAATAATGGGATTAGAAATGGCGACTTATCGAGCCCGCACCTTCAATATGCAAAGTACCAAAAGCGAAAACCCGCTAATAACAGTATATTGCTATAATGTTGTAGCAGCCAGCTAATCAACCCTAAACGGCAATAAATAATATCTACCCTGCTGCTACCATAACACAGAAGGCGAAGGTCTGAAGAAAAAATTTATTTTATAATTACCCCCGGCTACTGAGATACTGCGGGCTGCATATCGATGTGAGATAATTTGACGTATATATTTAACTTTCTAATATAGAAAAAAGAAACAGCCGCAAATATCATCAGCGCCGCATCGTCTTCACACGCCGGCTATCTTCATGCATCCGTCGACCATTTTCGAGCCGTTTCTTCAACGCCGCAGCTTCCCTTGCTGGTCAAGAGATGCGTCCCACGCTGCCACCACTCCCTCCAGAAAGCGAGGAGGGAGGTGGGGAATGTTCATAGCATACCACGCAGCCGGCTGCGTGGTTATGTGGAGACTTTTACTCACTAAACCCCACCTTTATGGATTGGCTTACCGATTTAATGAGATCTCTAAGCCGTATACGAACGCGACCCTCCTTGGCAGAAAGGAGGGCGCAAGCACGCGCGCCGGTCTGCACCACTTTTATAGCCCCGTCCAGCAACGCAGCTACGAGAAGCTATCCACGAGTCTCACGCCGGCAAATGGAGCGTACATAATAGTTGTACATAATATTTTTGATTAATCTTTACTGGTCAGAATGTATGAATTGTAATTGGCTAGGTAAATAAAAATTGTTACTATTGGTAAACTAACGACGTAGCCGGACATATAAATATAGGCGGGGTTGACCAAAAAACACTCCATACTCCATTCGTCTGCACATCAAAAAATAGTTTCATTTCTCCGCCACTAAACCACTCGGAGTCTGTTAATAGTGGACCTCATATCACCACTATTACAATGTTATATTATTTGGTTAATCGGAAATTTTCTAATAATAGGAAAATATTAGAAAATAATTTTATACGCAAGTAGGTACTTTAATTTTTAAATAATGTTTATAACTATCGACCCGCTCTGTCTTTTTCTGAATGGGATCTATTAATGTGACTTTATTTAGACTTAATACGATAATATTTCTATTTTTATAAAATCTCCAAATTTTTCGGATAAAATTATATTCACTTATCCGAAAAATTTGGATTTTTTAAATTATTCTCTATATGTTCGTGAAGTATATTTACAATCAGTTCAGCCATTTCAAAGATTAGCTCCAACAGACAGACAAACGAAAATTTTAAAAAACTCGTGACTCAACAGTATGTAAATATTTTGTGCAAAAATATTAACTAACAAAATCAACATAAATATGGAGGCAACTCTCAGAACACGTCGTAGCTCACAAAGTGGCGAAACCGAACAGATATTTTTGTAGTTCATGGCATTTTGTTATCACAGATTCCAGCGACATTTTGGACTGAAGCTACGAAAAACATATGTCGCAAAGTATTTTTTTAACATTGTATACCGGCAGGTGTGAGTACAGATAGCGTCATTGTGGGAGTAGAGGTGAATAGAGGCCACGCCATTTTAAGGCCCATTCTTTAACCACATCGGTAGTAAGAACTTATTGTTCTTATATGACATATATTAACTATGTGACAAACGATAGGCAATACTTTAGTAAAAAGATAGATAAGCTGAAAAAAATCCTGTTTCAAAGACCCTTTACCGATGCACGAGTCAGTACAGATGTGAATCATTTTTATTACAAGATTGAATTTATTAAGTTACCTAAGGTTTAAACACTAAAATCCCTTTAATAACGATCAAAAAAATATCTACCATAAACGCCATGCCTATGTGTACTTTCCTAAAAGGATCACCGGGTGTGTGTTACAAACTGTATATACCTTTTAATTAATATGTTCTAATTAATATGTTTGTGAAAATTACAATAGTAAAACGTGAAATTCAAAGAAAACTCCACCTTGCATAAAACATTAATTTCAAATTACTCGGCGAGTGTTCGTTCCGTTACCCTTAGTTATGCAGCGATTGTGGTAACCATACATGCGTCCTTTTGTCTCTGTGTGAATAAAGCAAAATAGGTAACAACGTGAGTGACCTGTTACTATTGCGATGACAATATACTATATATTGAAACTAAGGCCTAAGTGATATAGCGGCAACTGCAAAGAAAAAGGAGGGGCTTTTTTTACAATCTTTTTAACGCAACCGAATTTTTGAATTAATGTTTTAATCATTAAACTTGTCAAAATGTTCGTCTATCTGTCTGTCCGGGCTGATCTAGGGAATGGCTGAACTGATTGTGGTGAAACATTATTATAACAAATTGAAAGCAACGCCGTTAGGAATCTAAGTTATATTATATGCGAAAATTTGGATTTTTTTAAACGAAAACTTGTTAAATCAAATTTTACTTATATTGAAACTAAATAACCAAGCGAAACCGAGATAGGTCGCTAGTTTCTTTATAAATTCAAAAACGAGCAAAACGCTGTGGGGCAAAATTCACCATTCAACTACAGTCCTGAATCACTCCTTACACAAGCATTTAAGCCTACTTGGAGTGGTTTATAGGAATATTAACAATATATAAAGCACTGCTAGTATTTTTATCAGAAAATATTAAATATATATAAAATCTTTTTAACACGCTTTTATTAGGCTCGCGTGTATTTATTAACCTATCTATGTAACATAATATTTTAATATATTTTTCACCAACTTGTATACGACCGATTGAATTGAAAATTTGCACTCGTATTAAGGACGGATGAGAAAACAATAATTTAATAACCCTATCTTAGTACAATTTGTAAATGTGTGCTATTATTTTTATTGGACTCAACACAACTTTTATGCTGCCATTTTCATGATTTTAAAAAAGCTAAAAATTAATTTAATATGTTATTTCTATGCATTAATGATGCTTTGTCACACCTGAGGACTATTATCAAATAACCAGCAAAAAGCGTCTACATTTCTCTACGCTTACCATACGAAACACAACAGCATAATTCTAGCGTTTTTCGCTGGTATTCTGTGAGAATGTGTTCCTATCGCAGACTAGTCGACCCATTCGTGTTCGTAAATAATAGTTTTTTTTTTAATATTTCAAAAATCAGCGACGGAAGGCGTACACTCTGATATTTCATTATTACACAAAAACTACAAACTACACGAGTCAGGAGATTTTGCAAAATCAACTTTTTATATATGTTTAAAAATTAAATCAATAAAAATTACAACGAAAAAATATATTTCAAATTATATTGTCAAAGGAGACGGGGATTTTCTAAAATATAAAAAATTATTCCAATTCACAGCCTGGAAGACGAGAAATCTTTAAAATAAATTTCTGTCACTAATAAAATAAGAAATCGATTACTTCAATCGATTAGTGTTAATGAGTTTTAACAATTAAACGTTAAAACAACTTACAGCAGATAATTGATTCAATCATAGTTATTATATAAATTACAATTAACACAGTGTAAACAGTTTAAAAATTAAAATAACAATATAAAAATAAATCTTAAAATCGATTCTCGTTTACAGTTCGATTTAGTGTTTGCACAAGTAGTTTTTGCCAATGTATTTGTATTTTGAATCTGTGCTGACAGTAACAGCTCTTGCCTGACTCAATTAATGATCACTCGTCTCGTATCGTTTTAGTATGTGTGCGTTTTGAGGGTGTTTCTGTATTTCCCGTTGTTTTATTGATTGATATTCCTCTATCCCTGCCTTCTTTCTACGGACTTCTGATTTTACTTAACAAACCAACGAAAAAAC